ATATTTGTAAGTGTATCTATTGAAATAATGTGAGTCTACGTTTCGTAGTATGCAGTAGCACACAAACACCCATAGATACAAAGCTTAGTATCCAAGAGTGGGGACTAAAAAGCACCGTACAAAGGGGAGACCGAGAATAGGAAAAATTGTATAACTATATTCTGTCTCATTCTCTCGCAGACACAATCCTATAAATGTATATATGCTTGTCTCTTTATCTCTTTAATACAGTAGCCGTTTCATCATTTATGTCCCGTTTCATGAAAAAACCTCTGGATTTTTGTTCGCTTTTTTCAAATCACCCCCATTCTAAATGAAGTTACTTGACAGATCGAAACACAAAGGAGTTTGAAACGTCCGTTGTTGGAATGTAAAGTGATTTTGAGATTAGTTATTACTAAAATCTTTTCGTAGAATACAAAATAATTTTCCGTATGGGTAATATACAAATGTATAATATACAATGTATAATATATAAATGTATAAAAAAAAAAAAAAAAATCGAGATAACTTTAATAACTTCTGTACACACTTTCATCTACTTAAAAAATATTTACACAACCTTATCTTTTCACGCCATATACGTTTCGTATATAATTATTTTATATATTATAACAATTATCGAAAATATTTAGATACTGATAATAGGTGGTTAACCCTGTATACTATGATGTATAAGTTTCGGATGAAAGATATCGTTTCTCTAGACGGGAATATATGTGTTTGTTTGGTTATCCACTTGAAAGAGTCTGTCGTCTGATGTCTCGTCGCACCATAACCTCTCAAATATTCCTTATCGAAAGTTAATGTTTGAGAATCGTCGAAAAGTTTCGAGAAGAACAGAAAAAAAAAAAGAAAAACGTTTCGTAATATAAGGGTGTTAGCGACAGTTCTGTTTAAATCAATTCTAACTAATAAATGGTAAGCTAATAGATTTGTAGAATTATATTTGTGTAATAAAATAATATAATATTTGTGTAAAAAAATCTTACTTTTTACTATCACTTTTATCATATAATCAAACAAGAGTAAATAAAATATTTCAAAAAATGTTTCCTATATGTTTAAATAAATTTGTTATATAATTAATAACAGCAATTTTTAATAACATCGTGTTGTTTTTTGTTATATTTTATGCTAGGATTTTTTCTTTTTTTTTTTATACGATCTCTATTCATCGTATGAACAATTTTTTTTAATTTTTTTTTTTTAATATATTGCGAACGATATTTTTTTTTATAGCTACTTACGAAGTTTCGAAATATTTCTTTTTTTTTTGTGCATTTTAATTTATAAGGTTCCTATCATTCGCACATAAAAAAAATAACAGGTTCCAGTATATTTCTTTTATTTTTGTCCTACATAGAATAATATTAAAAGCTACGACGATTAAAAATGCTCGATGAAAAATAGTTAAATTCAGGACCTTAAAAAAAAGTCGAGCAAAAAAACGAATTGAAACGGTTGAAAGTACTCGTTTTTCTCTAACCTTCGTAAAGTTAAATAATAGATAAGAAGTAGTCATTGTGTAAAGATGATACTAGGTACATTACGTATTATTTAAAATACGAATGATACTGTACTGCCACTGCGTAATGTATGAATTATTCATGCAGAATAGCAGCAGCTTTTTAAATTTTCCTTTTTTTTTTTTTTCATTTCTCATCTTTCCTTTGTTAACAATTTTTCTTTTTTTTTTCTCTCCGTTTCTTTTAATCCTACAAATTATTTATACAATCCACGACAATAGGTATTGTGATCTATTAATTATTATATCGTTCACAAATTTTCAAATAGCCTTTTAAGTTTTTTTGTTTTCCTTTTCTTTTGCTTATTTTACCTTTATGGTAATAAAAGGGGAATAGAAAAACAAAAAAGTTGACTTTGATTTTTTTTTCTCCTACTATGCCTTAAAAAATCTGTTTTATAGATCTAAACACAAAAAACGTTTCATAAAATAAGTCTGAAATGTCTGTTGTTAGAATGTAAAATGATTTTGAAATTTAGAATAAGGTCGGGTATTGGTAAATGTGGACTAATGTAATATCTATATGCATAAAATGATATTACTTTCCAAGTAAACCTAATAATTATCCTAAAGCAATGTTGAAATCAAAAATTCTACTAAGAAATGTTTGAAATTCTAATAATATAATAAATAGTTTAATTATAACTAAATTATAATATAAAATAACAAAAAAAAGAACATATTTTTAATGATAAAAATAGTTCTAATTATATCACGCTAAAAGGTATTTTAAACATCTATCAATTTGTTTTATAGTGAAACAAATTCATAAAAGTTGGTTTAAACAAGTAAATATTTTCTCATTTATTTTATATGAATTTTTTCCGAAAATTTAATTACGATGTATAAAAGGAAAAAATCAAAAAATATATATATATATATAAATTTTTTTTATTAAATTATTAATTAATATTAAAATAGAGAATGAATTTATTCTAATTTCTCTTATTCCGTAATTTTGTAGGTTAGAGTGGTGTTCGTTATTTGGCTTTTTGAAGAAATTTTGACGAGTACATCTCTCTTTCTCTCAGTTAATCCCAAAAATAAATAAAAATAAAAATCATCTTTTTATATTTCAGTCGTTTCCTTTAATATTAAAACCGTGCTAATGAGAACGTACGTTTTTTCTCTTCATTCGCGTAACGTAAAAATTTAAAAATATTTTTTAAACAAGCCACGAGAAACCAGACAAAAAATTTTAACTCCTCCACACCAATGACGTAAAGTGGTGGTATTGTTATACCATATATTCTTAAACTCGGAAAATAATTTTTGTTATGTGAAAAAACAAACAAATCGACGAATTAGAATAGATGAAATTTATTATAATAATCATGTAAACATTTCCCGTGTATTTGAATTTTATTTGTTTGTCAAATATTATGAAAAATTTTCTTTGAACTATTGTTTTTCGATAAACTCTCAAAATATTTATTAAAATAGAATTATATTCTCTATGCGATTTTAGTTCAAAACTGATGAATGTTTTGTTTAACATTGCGAAAATTTAACAACAACAACAACAAAAACAATAAATTTAACAAATTACAAAATTTAATTTACCTTAAATATACGTCATATTTATACAGCAATGAAATTGTTAATATTTTATTTTCTTATTGTTTTCTTATTATATTCTTATTATTAATAATTTATTTTCTTATTGTAATAAACAATATCTCGTAATATTTGATAAGTTAATTAATTCTAAATGTAACAAAGTAATATATACACTTGGATATGTTTCAAATTAAAATAAATTATAATTAATCCAACAAATTCCAACTGCATAATTGTATCAAATTCTAAAATAGTTGCAGAAACACGCATCATGCGTATTAGAAATGCAATAAATAAATAAATAGTAAATGAACCTAACAATTCATCTACTAGTGACCTAGTTACATATACACGGTGTTCAAATAATTCACTTTATTAACCTACCCCAGTTACATCTACAAAATACATAAACATAATACAACTGCATAAACAAAAAATAGTAAAAAAAATTATTGAATTAAAATAACTTCGTTTTTGATCGTTTTCAAACGCAATAAACTGGTTTCTTGAACACTCCTTCCAGGAGAATGATTAATGAGACACACGTTTTTCGAGATTTAAAATGGTCAGTTTCGGTTAAAAAGAAGAACCCATTGTCAGGGTTGACTTTTTTTTTCCTTTTCGTTTGGATACGTTAAATCACAGTCAGCGTTATACAAGAAAAACCACAGAAAAGTAAAAAACAAGGAGGGACATAAATGGAATATTTCATAATCGGATTTTGTTCTCTTTAAAAAAAAAAAAAAAAAAAAAAGAAAAAGGAGAAAGAGCAGATGGACGACAGGCGTGGGTTTGAGAAAAAGAAAGAGGGACAGAAAAATACAGAAAAGAAAAAGGAAAAAAAGCATGAAAAATATTCGAAATAGTGCCCTGTCACTTGTCATTGTATTTCTTTGGGACAACGTGTATCCTTCGGATCATGGTTACATACAAAAGATAGGATCCCAACGATATCTGCCCTTTTTTCTTCTCCTTTTCATCCTACCCCTTCTTCTAGCCCCACCCTCACAATTTTTCCATATTATTCTTTTTTCCACTACAACTCACGAATATCATTGGCTACACAGCTTTATTTTGCTGACATCATCTCATTATTTTGTTTCTTTTCCTTTTTCTCGTCCCAATCATAGGAACATTTTGCGAGTCACCGATAAGGATCGTTATTAACATGATTTTCCAGGTAAAAATAATAATACAATGGAAACTATAATAGCCAACAAAGTGTCACGAAAGATTTCTCATCGGTGATTTAAGAATCATAAAAGAATATTATTGTGTGAAAAATGTAATACAATTTAAAAAAAATATACCTGGATCGCATGATCTAGTTGTTGTTAATAAATTGTATGTTTCGATGTTTGTTTGATATCTCTATAAAAAAAAAAAAAAAAAAAAAAAAAAAATTAAGCACTTTACGACTAAATTTTTTATTATTTTATCTTATTTTTTTATGATAAATAACTACCAGCATTTATCTTATTCAAGAATAATAAAGATTTATATTCTGGTTAGAAAATTTAATAAAATTTGTATTGCATATTTAACTTTAGTCAGAGATATTTGATAAGCAAATAGATTGTTTTTGTTTTAAATAAAATTTATAAATATATATATATATACATAAAATTTATATATTATTTTTTTAAAAATTAAATTTTTTATTGCCGTAATAAAATATATGTAAATAATAATTTTTCCCGTCTAACCATTTTTTCATTCAAACACGATTTTTATATGTCTTTAAAAAATAGCAAACAGAACATCCACGTAAATTTAATATTAAATAAGAATAACATAGAAAAATATTTAAAATTATTATAAAGTCCCGGAATGCGGTAAAATTGAATTAAATGATCCTTTCTTACCGACGGTAGGTAAATAAAATGTACAAATAATAATATTTATCACTTACCACAACCGTAGTCTATGCTTGGTGTTGGTTGAACGTTGCTCTCGATCATAGCCTTACTGAATAAATAAATCGGATTTGTATCGGTTCCAACTGAATAAGTACCCACAAGGGCATTTGGTTCTAAACTATCACCTCCGCTCATCAGGAGCACCTGATGGCACGCCATAACCCCACATTCCCTCTCAATTGCCTCCTTCAAAGAAGAGACACTGAAAAATATACAAATAATAACAAATCAATTATATTTTCATATTTAAAAAAGAAACTTTATAAAAAAAAAAGATTACGTACTATTACATTTTATTATTCTTTTTAAACTACTGTTACTACTATTATTATTATTACTATTATTTAATTGTAAATAAACCGGTAAGGAACTAAAATTTGACTAAAATACAGTTTTGAAATGTTTGGAAAAAGCTGGATATAAAATGTGAACAAAATTTATTTAACTTTTACGGTAAAATATGAAGAAAGTTTCTATTCAACTTGAATTATTATTATTACTATTATCATATTTATTGTTGTTATCATACAGATTTTGTATCCCAAATATAACACGGATATTGGGTTCCTAAAAAATACTATGTAATGCGAATAAAATGTTATGTTATATGAAAAATATATATATATTTATATATGTTATATGAAAGATGAATTAGTATAAAAAAATGAATTAAGTTTTAAAAATTAAAAATCTTTTCTAAAACAATTTCTTTTAGTTAGTTGGTGTGTGACACGAATATCCAAATAGTTCGAAAAATTATAATATAATACTAGTATTATGATATATAATATTGGGTTGTTCGGAAAGTAATTTATTTATTTATTTATTTTTTTTTTTTTTTTGAAAAAATGAAGACAATTTTTGCTTCGAGGTTTAAACCTAGGCCTTTCAAGTAGGCATAAATAGTTGAATTTAATGAATTTTACTTCTCACCAATTGTCTCACATGTTGTCCTTTGTCGGTTTGTATCAACTAATGTTTTTATTGTGTCAGGAAAATACGAAATTACTTTCCGAACAACACAATAAAATTAGAAAAATTATAGTTTACATTTTTAAAAAACTTTGATATTTGAAATTATTTTTGATATTTAAAGTAAAAATATTTCATTCTTTTCTATTATTAAAATAACATTACAATTAATATATTATAAAAAATATTATAATTAAAATAGCGTGATTTTTTTTTTGCTAACATTTAAGAAACTGAATTTCAAAATTCAAACTTTATTCAAAAAAAATTAAATTTTACTTTAAATATTTACTGATATTTAAACTAATAATATTTCAATCCATTTGGATTGATAATTACTATTTAGTATGATTTTGTTTTTATTAACATTCAAGAAAACATTTGTTCCCAATTTAATCATCAATAGGGATTAAATTTTGTAAGGGTATATTTAATCCATAGTAATAATAACTAAAAAATAGTGTGTTGGAATACTCAAATATAAATCAGTAAAATTATAAAACTTTTTCCAGAAAAATATGTAAAATATGATTAACCCTGTTTTACTGTGGTATATTTTTATATGGTATCGTTGTTTCATTAATTATCACAATTATATACATATCTGTCTCATTTTATCTAACTGAACAGTATATATTAAGTATAAGCAAAAAAATGTAATATAAATACAGGATCTCGTAAATGTTTTATGAAAAAATTAACAACAAAACGTTTTCATTTATTTGACTTGGCAACGAAACTATGTCAAGTTTTTATTTACAAAAACGGATGACTCTTTTTAAATAAGAACTTTAATATTGATTTAACAAGAATCCAGTCGTGTATAAACTTCATATCTTTTTTTATATGTAAAGATATGAGTAAAATTTTATAAATAAAATATTTACAACCTTAATTTGATATTATTGCATCATTTAATCTTCTTTTTATTTTATATTATAGAATTGATAATATTAATTAGAACAATAAATATAATAATTAAAATAATTAAATATAATATAATATATTTAAATAAATATAATATAATAATATTAAATGATATATTATTACAATAATAATAATAATAATAATAATAATAATAATAATAATAATAATAATAATAATAATAATAATAATANATAATAATAATAATAATAATAATAATAATAATAATAATAATAATAATAATAATAATAATAATAATAATAATATTTTATATTGAAGAGATTATTTGACTGTATTAAATGAAACACTCTGTATATATTTATGAATAATTCATTAATTGTAAATGTTTCGAGTTTATCATGAACTATACGATCAACATTGTTTGAATACTTGAACACGAAACGACGTAAACTTTGATCTATCAGACGACTGTTACAACACTAAAACGTGATTTACTAACGTGAAGATATTACATGAAATGTGATATAATAACATCGACTGTATCATTAATTTGTAAAATGTTCGAACAATATTCAAAACACGAAGTAATTTATAATTATTTCTTCGGTTTCCTGAATACTATTAAATTATCGGATTTGAGAAAATTTCACAAATTTTGGATACTTCATTATTTGAATTAAACTTACGATATAAAGGAAGTATTATGTTAATTAATGGCTATTCAAATTTAATTAAATTTTCAATTATTCGAACAAATCTAACGTTCAATGTTTCATCTATTTTCTTTTCATTATCTTTCTCTTATCTTTTACTAACAATAAAACTTGACTGTTAGATATAGATATTTTTTTTTAATTTGTCCCTAAAGCATAAGAATTCATTAAAAAAAAAAAAATAGGGTAGTAGAAAAAAAATGTTTTGCGATAATTAACGGTTAATTAGAATTTAATTAAATGTTTAAATGTACAAAGTATCCATTACGTTCTATTTTCCACCTATATTTTATTTTTAAATTTTTGTTTTGAATCTCTTACTCGTTGAAAAAACTGACGTATGACAGATTGTTTTTTTTTTTGTTATTTTTTTTTTTTACAAAAACATAAAAAAGTCATGCACAAACGTTTGTTAATCATTATAGATTTGGATAAATAGTAAATGTCAAAATAAAAATCTCTTTTAAAAGAGTTCAGAGACACAAAGAATGTTTCATCGATCTCTCGTTTCGTTTTGTACGAAATAAAAGGAAATTCAAGGAATCCGGAAACGTGCTTGAACCTTATAATCACAAAGATACTCTACCATTTACAATTCCTTACAATTTCTTACAATTCTTTAGAATTCCTTACAATTCCTTACAAATTCCGTGCAATCCTGCAATCGTTTATTATAGTATAAAATTTATATATCGAAAAAAATACTTTTTGACATAAAATAAATTATTGTATATACGTAATTTGATTAATTAATTGAATAACATGAAATTTTAAAATAACTCGATAAGTGTAAAAAAAATCGATACATTTTTAAATTTAAAATTAATACTAATAAAACAATTAAACACAGTATTTTATTATAACATTATTAAAGTCACGAATGATAATCCTAATCTTGTAATAAAGTCATGTTTCTATAGTTTGATTCTAATTTTACAATTGTTTAATAATTTGTTCTCTTTTACATTAGAATATAAATTCTTTTGGAACAAAAATTCATATATAATACAAAACCACATGTTTCCAAATAAATAGAATATATAAAGAATATAAATTCTTTTGGAAAAAAAATTCACATATGTAGGGAAATTTATTTAGGGTGAGAGGTGCGAGGTGAACATATACCCAGTTTAATCCTACTAATAAGATATATTTAAAACAGGTATTAGAAAAGTACAATAATAGTTTCACAATCTTATGACTACAACTTAGATAAGCGACTGCGTTCTGATAACAACTTATAATGCAACTGCGATTGATACGACTGGTGACTAACCGAATACTCCTGAACCGACCGACTGACTGCCCTTCTCCTTAAATCTGTGTCCTTTTATATTCGTCTGCGTCGTTCTCGAATTTACCAAACATCTGTTTCGAGAACCTTCTAGATTTTACCGATTCTCACGTCACTTTGATAATTTACAAAGAACAGACCACGCATCGTATTTCTTTATTTCGACCATTGGGTCCTTTCCCTTTAGTCTTTCGTCGCCTACCTACTTATCTATGTTTACTCCTCGATACTTAGAACTCTCCTATATCTATCTTTGACACTTAAAACTCTCCTACATATATAATGAAAAACCACATACTTCCAAAATATTCATTACGAACATACCGACTAAAGATAAATAATACGATGCCTGATTTCAGATTTGCTATGTGCCGTATCAAAATAATAAATAATTAAATAAATTTACAATAAAATAATCAAATAAAATCAAGTTAACCCATTAACTGCCAAATTATTTTTGGTTTCAGAAATATTTAAATTTTTTTTAAAGTCTTAAATGGGGATTGTGGCTGGTTGCACGAAAAAAAAAAAACCAATAACAGACTATTACTTATTTCTTTTATTATTATCCTATACATACAAAATAGTTATTATTATACCATTTTTCTATACAGTCCACATAAAACCAAGTGGTGTACGTAAAATTCCAAAATCCCCAAATGGGGATCGTGGCAGCTAATGGGTTAAATGGATACGTTTTACTTATGATTCGCGTAATTTTTGATATTTTTGTTCAAATAACCCTATAATAAATATGCAAAAGCATACTAAATTCCTTTTTTCTTGATTTATTATTTAAAAAATGGAAACTACAAAAAGTTAATGTTTTTTTTTTTTTCATTAATTACTTTTTAATAAAAATTTTGCTAAAATATAATTCTGGTATTTTCTATTTTATTTATCATAAGTATTAAAATAGAAAATGTGTGTGTGTGTATTTCTATTTAATCGACATAATGAAGAATTTAAAATTTATCCACATAACAATAATTCACAATGCATAATTAGAATATATAAAAAAATATTATCTTATATTACATATCCAATACAATGTATTCTTTAACATAAATATGTGTTATTATAAAAATGAAATATAGAATGAAATCGTATTTGACTCAAGAAAAACGTGTTTTAAAAAAATTAAAATCTTTATAATTCTATTCTCGATTAGGTGGATCCTCGAACACACTGATTAATCAAGAAACTATTGTATATATATTTTTATTAATTTTTTATTAACTCTAAATGTTGTTGATGCTACGTTAAATTACCAAAACAAAATATAAAGTAATATTTTTCGTATAATTAATTATTTTTCTATACGTAAAATATATTCAA